ACAGAAAACATTGGACTGGTTATTGACACTAACAGAAAACAATGGACTGGTTATTGACAATAACAGAAAACACCTGTTCTGCATGTCAGAAACAGAATATTTACTGACTGATGACAGAATAATACCCAACAATCAGTGACAGCTCTAGAGAACCCCAGGGAAGGATTTGATAGTACATCATAAGTACAACAATTTTCATGTGAAGTATCAATATGTACAAAACAGAAACACACTATTGGCTATTCTTGAGGATTATGGTAAACAAGAATAATTGCTAGATAACATTATGGCCATGTACCACACTTCCCAAAGGGCAGTGAGAACATAAGAAGGCAAGTCTGGTATGTTAACAATCAACACAGGGTTAAGACTGGGATGTGTGCTCTCTCCTCTCTTATTTACTATACAGAGGTGAGGTAGAGATGTGTGCTCTCTCCTCTCTTATTTACTATACAAGGGTGAGGTAGGGAAGTGTGCTCTCTCCTCTTATTTACTATACAAGGGTGAGGTAGGGATGTGTGCTCTCTCCTCTCTTATTTACTATACAAGGGTGAGGTAGGGATGTGTGCTCTCTCCTCTTATTTACTATACAAGGGTGAGGTAGGGATGTGTGCTCTCTCCTCTTATTTACTATACAAGGGTGAGGTAGGGACGTGTGCTCTCTCCTCTCTTATTTACTATAAAAGGGTGAGGTAGGGATGTGTGCTCTCTCCTCCCTTATTTACCATACAAGGGTGAGGTAGGGAAGTGTGCTCTCTCCTCCCTTATTTATCATACAAGGGTGAGGTAGGGAAGTGTGCTCTCTCCTCCCTTATTTACCATACAAGGGTGAGGTAGGGAAGTGTGCTCTCTCCTCCCTTATTTACCATACAAGGGTGAGGTAGAGATGTGTGCTCTCTCCTCCCTTATTTACTATACAGGGGTGAGGTAGAGATGTGTGCTCTCTCCTCCCTTAATTACTATACAAGGGTGAGGTAGGGATGTGTGCTCTCCCCTCTTATTTATTATCCAAGTGTGAGGTAGGGATGTGTGCTCTCTCCTCCCTTATTTACTATACAAGGGTGAGGTAGGGATGTGTGCTCTCTCCTCCCTTATTTACTATACAAGGGTGAGGTAGAGATGTGTGCTCTCTCCTCCCTTATTTAATATACAAGGGTGAGGTAGGGATGTGTGCTCTCTCTTTTCCTTTATTTACTATACAAGGGTGAGGTAGGGATGTGTGCTCTCTCCTCCCTTATTTACTATACAAGGGTGAGGTAGGGATGAGTGCTCTCTCCTCCTTTATTTACTATACAAGGGTGAGATAGGAATATGTGCTCTCTCCTCCTTTATTTACTATACAAGGGTGAGGGAGGGATGTGTGCTCTCTCCTCTCTTATTTACTATTCAGGGGTGAGGTAGGGATGTGTGTTCTCTCCTCCCTCATTTACTATACAAGGGTAAGGTAGAGATGTGTGCTCTACCCTCTCTTATTTACTATACAGAGGTGAGGGAGGGATGTGTGCTCTCTCCTCCCTTATTTACTATACAAGGGTGAGGTAGAGATGTGTGCTCTCTCCTCTCTTATTTACTATACAGAGGTGAGGTAGGGATGTGCTCTCTCCTCCCTTATTTACTATACAAGGGTGAGGTAGGGATGTGTGCTCTCTCCTCCCTTATTTACTATACAAGGGTAAGGTAGAGATGTGTGCTCTCTCCTCCCTTATTTACTATTCAGGGGTGAGTTAGGGATGTGTGCTCTCTCCTCCCTTATTTACTATACAAGGGTGAGGTAGGGATGAGTGCTCTCTCCTCCCTTATTTACTATACAAGTGTGAGATAGGGATGTATGCTCTCTCCTCCCTTATTTACTATACAAGGGTGAAGTAAAGATGTGTGATCTCTCCTCTCTTATTTACTATACAAGTGTGAGGTATAGATGTGTGCTCTCTCCTCCCTTATTTACTATACAGAGGTGAGGGAGGGATGTGTGCTCTCTCCTCCCTTATTTACTATACAGGGGTGAGGTAGGGAAGTGTGCTCTCTCCTCCCTTATTTACTATACAGAGGTGAGGTAGGGATGTGTGCTATCTCCTCTCTTATTTACTATAAAGGGATGAGTTAGGGATGTGTGCTCTCTCCTCTCTTATTTACCATACAAGCGTGAGGTAGAGATGTGTGCTCTCCCCTCCCTTTTTTACCCTACAAGGGTGAGGTAGAGATGTGTGCTCTCTACTCCCTTATTTACTATACAGAGGTGAGGTGGGGATGTGTGCTCTCTCCTCCCTTATTTACTATACAGATGTGAGGTGGGGATGTGTGCTCTCTCCTCCCTTATTTACTATACAGAGGTGAGGTAGGGATGTGTGCTCTCTTCTCCCTTATTTACTATACAGAGGTGAGGTAGGGATGTGTGCTCTCTTCTCCCTTATTTACTATACAGAGGTGAGGTAGGGATGTGTGCTCTCTCCTCCCTTATTTACTATACAGAGGTGAGGTAGGGATGTGTGCTCTCTCCTCTCTTATTTACTATACAGAGGTGAGGTGGGGATGTGTGCTCTCTCCTCTCTATTTAACTAAATGCAGATAGAATATCTACAGAAGCCAGTTTTACAGCAGCTGACTTAGACAACTGGAGAAATGAGGAACTTTACTTTCCAGAGAAAGATCAGATCCACACAAAGATAGATCCACACAATAAATGAGCTACTATTTGCAGATAGTCAGTGCCTGTTCTACAATGAGGGGAGTAGACTGCAAGAACACTTTAACAGGCTAAGTTCAACATGCAGAAGATATAACATGGAAATAAATACTACTAGTCCAATAAATATAGGGTTAATTGGTACTTGTCTGAGGCAAGCTGAAGAATTTAAATGTCTAGGCAGTAAATTGTCAGAGGACGGGAGAACAGACTGAGAAACAGAAATGTGATGCCAACAAGCTAATGCATTTATAAGGTTAGTTGCGTATCCTTTACAGGACGTTGCAGAACCAATCCCAGCAGCCCCTGGCTGTTGTGTGGATTATCTGGGCAAATTTACGTCTAGCAGTTTGCCATTGCTTTCTGGATGGTCGGCCCACTGATACCCCTGTCAAAACCAATGCAAGGCGCATGGCCTGCAGCTGGAATCGAACCCGGCACCCCGGCATTATCCAGCGTTCGCATCGACTCAGCCACAGAGTCGACGCATTTATATACCAACCAGTAAACTTATATACCAACTGACACCATTTTAAAGACATTCAAACATAAGTTTGCGTGCCAAGAAACATATTATAAACAGCATATTCATACCAACACTGTGCTACAAGTGCCTGACTTGGACATTATCAAAGGCTAACTTAAGTAAAATTAACACCTGTGAAATTAGATGCCTGCCAACTTAACCATCCAAGACAAAGTTAGAAAGATATTATCAGACTGACTGTAGGTACACCAAACACCAAATTTAATGAGAAACAGCAGATCCACTGGTTTAGTCATCTAGTAAAAATTGCAGCAAGAACAGTTAACTACAAATGCAGATGCTACACATGTAAAGATCTGAAATGAAAGCAAGAGGTTGTCCTAGGAGAAGATGGACTGATGACATTAAAGAGCTTCTACATCGACCAGAATGACAATATACATTGCTGCCGATCAAGCAATGGATCAAAAACTGATCATCCCTACAAGGCTTAATGGCAGAAGTAGAAACTAATGATGATGATGACCACAATTAATCATAAAGTAGATCTAAAATATATTATAATTTAACGATCTATACTCTTACAATTTGCTACATTTATACATAATCTATGCAATATTTAATAACCAACAGTAACTTACAAACATAATTTCACAATATTGAAATAGAAAAACTATATAATCCTTGTTATAACATATATGAATTAATCTATGCTCTCTAGATTTTTCTCTTTAAATACTTTTTTATTTTTTTTTTTGAATTTAAATTACACTTTCTCATCATCATCAAATGCCTTGCCAACTGGCGTGGGTGATCATGCCTCTCTCAAATCTGCAATCTCCTGCAGCATGTATCAGTTCATGTGCTTACACACCTCCATGCCATGCAAAAAGACTGTCAAGCATCTTCTCTCGTTGTCTTCCTCTGTCCCTTCTTCCACAGATTTTTCAAGTGGTCACATGTTCCATTTTCCCTCTTTTCTTCCAAAACCTCTTGGTTGCTCTTTTTTGGCTGACCAAGGTATTTTAAGCATTTTTCTGTAAAGCCACATCTCTGAGGCCTCAAAAAATTGTGAGGCCTGCCTACCGATTGCCCAGGATTCACAGCCATATGTTAAAGCTGGATGTATGTAGCAAGCAATAATTATTTTTCTAACGTTTAATGACAAAGATTTATTACATAAGATTTTCTCCAATTCATGAAATGCAGTTTCTGCCTTTCCTATTCTGTTTCTTATCTCAGTTATGCATCTTCTATCTTATGTTATCCATGTGCCCAGGTACTTAAATTTATGTACTTGTCCCAAATTAACACCACTGACTTTTATTAAACATTTTTTAATAATTCTTTTTTTTGATACCACCATTACTTCTGTCTTTCCATTATTCAAACTGAGGCCCATTCTTCCACTTTCTAACACCACAATGTCTACCATTTCCTGTAGTTCTTTCCGACTTGTAGTATCAAGACTGTGTCATCAGCACAATGTAAATTGTTTATATTATGCCCCTTCTACAACTATGTATTCTAATGCTTATATTTTTGTCTACTTTCTAATACAGACACCTAAATAATTGTGTTTTGAAATTGTACTAACTCCTTATAATAAGTTTGTGGGATAAAATGGGGAGAAGAATAGATTAAATTTAATATTAGCAATGAATACTTCAAAAAACATTCAAGCAGACTGGCGCGATTGAAGCGGTAAATTTCTAACTCATTATAATAAATCTATGTGATAAGATGGTATAAAATATTAGCAATCAAGAAAGAATTGCAGAACTAGTAAGCGGATTGGCACACAAAAAGCAATCTGGATGACCCCCCTACCTGTGGAGGTGATCTAAAATTCTGTGGTTTCAATGTTATAGGATTTGTTGGGGTCAGCTCGGCACCAGGTAGCAGATCAAACAGACGTCCCTAAAGTTGAGTAATTTATCCTGTCAAAATCTATCATCAGCATTATCTTGAGAAGAAGTACAACTATAAAGCTAGTCATATAGAGAATGACGAATGAGATTTCAACTGTACACATTTTCATGAAATATACATTTTCTTCTTTGCGTTCATCGGCGTTCAACTTCAGTGGAAAGTTCTGGGTGTTCGTCCAGCTCTGGACTTTAGTTTGTCCACTACTTGAGTTCTGATTGCACATCCATTTTATACCTCTGGCTTATTTGTATGCCGCAGACTGCTGGTTCCTTGCCTCTCAGACAGATGCACTGACTTCAAATAAAATCCTTCTTAGGACATGCATGCTTGTTGGGGGAGGCATTGGGTCTAATCCCCCCCCCCCCTCCTCCTCCAGTGCCTTCCTCACCCCCAGCCACCAGATTCCACACATGGATAAAGATAAATAAAATATATATGATTTTACATACATGTTAACCTTACATACATGTTAACCTTACACACATGTTAACCTTACACACATGTTAACCTTACACACATGTTAACCTTACATACATGTTAACCTTACATACATGTTAACCTTACATACATGTTAACCTTACACACATGTTAACCTTACACACATGTTAACCTTACACACATGTTAACCTTACACACATGTTAACCTTACATACATGTTAACCTTACACACATGTTAACCTTACACATGTTAACCTTACACACATGTTAACCTTACACACATGTTAACCTTACACACATGTTAACCTTACACACATGTTAACCTGATACACATGTTAACCTTACACACGTTAACCTTACAGACATGTTAACCTTACACACATGTTAACCTTACATACATGTTAACCTTACATACATGTTAACCTTACACACATGTTAACCTTACACACATGTTAACCTTACACACATGTTAACCTTACACACATGTTAACCTTACACACATGTTAACCTTACATACATGTTAACCTTACACACATGTTAACCTTACACACGTGTTAACCTTACACACATGTTAACCTGACACATATGTTAACCTTACACACATGTTAACCTTACACACATGTTAACCTTACACACAAACACCAGTTGTTCATCCATCACAAGTGATGAAGACCACTTTGAATCCAATCCTAATAGTGACCAATGACTGTACGTATGAAGATAACTGATGAGTCCAATTTGAGCCTAGAATATCTTCAGCGGTGTGGAAAAGCAACAGTTAAGTGGAATTTGCCATATGGTTCCTTCTGGACTGCATCCATCTCTCTTTAAGTGCAACCTCCGCTGCCTGGCAGACTGATACACCATGTTTGACAACTGTACGCCATCCAGATATGTCTTGTGCAACAGCCTTCCATATTTCTGCCGGGATGACAAATAATTTCAGAGTTGCTTTAACAGTATTTCTTGTAGCATTTTGTCTGTCCACCTGGGACTTCCGTGCTGAAGTTCATCAACAAATATTCCCTCTGGCTGGTTTGGCATGTGGGTCAGGTGACCAATCCAGCAGAGCTAATATTTCTTTAGTAGAATGTGGATGCTTGGTATATTTACCTTACTGAGAACTAGTGTTCAGAATCACATCCTGTCATTTCTTTTTCTTCTTTTCATTTGTCAGCTGTGGTTTGCCTTTTGGCTGACACATCCAACTTCATAAGGCATTTGTTCCCTGGTTAGCTTTCATGAATAGTTTTGTGGAACATGATGTAGTTTTATTTTTGAAGTATCTTCTATCTCCATGTATCTACAGGTGTTGTTTCTGGAGAACCCGTTCAGGGCAATCGCATGTAGACTGGTTGGCGCTAAGGGAAGGCAGGGGTAGATCATGAACATTTCCCGCCATCCGAGGCTTTCATAAATGCAGAGCTGATACATGATGCTTTGAACCTGGCCTCGTCTAAGGTATGGTCACGTCCTGCACATGAATGCTTAACCCCCCAATGTAAGCTGAGCTTCCCACTGATTAAGGGCTTCTTCCTTTGGAGATCATCAGGGAGAAGTCTACAGAACCAGGGCTTAAATGACCATACAAATGGGCACATACTTCTTCAACATGTTTAGACCCTTTAATAATGTTTCATATGGAAACTTAGCATGACTAAATGTCAATAGTATGCACCAGGCATGGCTTTCCCGTCTGGTCCCGATACTATGACTAGAGGGGCAAATGGTAACAAGCGTCTGAAACTTTCTGTCAGGACTTTTACAGTCAGACATTTAAGACTTTGCTGTTATGCCATTGGAAATTTGACTGACAGAGATTTGAACCTAATCAGCTGAACGACAGTGATAGATTGTCACAGTGTACCTCAAAAGACTGAAGATGATTTTGAAAGTCGACAAAGTATATACAGAGATAGTACAATACCGTGAGATAACCATCCATAGGAGATGTTACCATCTAAGCTACAAACACATCTCTTGGTTTAAGACTGAGACTGTGCAGTTTCCAAAACCTACCTACCAAGTGATTTATCCCCTCCAATTCTGCTAATAAAATGTTTCCATTTAGCCTTTCTTGCTTCTGCTGCACACCACTTGAACTATTCTACTTTTTCTTTTCTAACTCTTTCTATCTTCTTGTATCTTGTTAGGTGTCTTTCACACTTTCTGTAATTGTTTTACTGCTGCTTGCTTCGGTCTCCATGCCTGTTCTACTTCTTGGGTTCACTATAGAGGCTGCACAAAAGCAGAGATGGTGGTTTTGCTGCATACCTTCCGTCGAAGGCATCCAAGAAGGGTACTGGCCCTCTCATACTTAGAAGTCTTGCGCGTTCTCACAGCCCTGATCTTGTTAGCTTTATAAATCAAGACTGAGCATAGCATATGATGGCTCCCACGATAACCCAGGACACCCCAGCACTGTTGACTGGGTAACAAAAGCCAAATCAATAGCTATGTCTGCATCACCAGTCTCGTTGCCCTTCTAGTTAGCCTACCGTCATTATACAGACTACGACTACATCTACCATAGCCTCTGCTAAAGCATTTCCTTGTAGAGTGGGTTCCGGGGCCCCATTGTGGGGAAAATAAGAATAGACCCACTGCCTCCCGAACAAGGAAGTCATAGGAGAACTAACTGGGGACTTCCTTCAAATTCGGAGTACATCTGCCAGAGTGGCAAGGAACAATGAACTGCACACAAACTCAGGCGCTGGCACAAAGTCAAAGTCCAAATGGACGAACAACCAGGACTTTCCGCAGGAGCTTACAGCTGGTGAATAAAGAAGAAGAAGAAGATTTCCTTGTCTATTTTCCCCAGTACTTCTTCTTCGCCCACCGGTTGTGAATTCCTGCGGAAGTCCCGGTTAATCATCCACATGGACTTTTGGCTTTTACCTGGACCTAAGTTTTGCGTGTACAACCATTTTACTGGCTTTTGCAATTCCCTGCCTCACGGGCAGATGTACTCCCGACTTCGAGGAAAGATGTCAGACCTATTTCTAGGATGACTGTGGCTATTTTTTGTGTGGGTCGAGATGTGACCTTATTTGTGTGGTGTCCTCTTTGTCCCTTTCTCCACAGGTGTTGCCCCCGAAGTACTCCATTTGGGACAGCCCTGTGTGAAACGGTTGGCCCTCAAGGGAAGGCAGGGGCAGATCATTGGCATTCCCCGCCATCCAAGGAGGCTTCCATAAATGCAGAGCCGGCACATAACGCTCTGGTTCTGGGCTCACCCAAGGAATCGTCACGTCCAGCACATAACTGCTTAACCTCACAACCGTATTAGGCTTCCCGCTTGTCATGGGCTGCGCCCTCCGGAGATCAGCCCTTGGGTTCTGGACTTTTGTGACCACACGAATAGGTACTATCTTTTTTCGTTGCACGATTGTCATCTTTAGCGTGCTGTTAGCACGACAGAATGGAGAATCATGCGTCAGGCATGTCTTTATCTGTTTGGTCCCAACACTCGGGTGAGTGGGGTCTCGGGATGTGGACATCTGGACTTTTTCCAGTCAATACGATTTATGATGGTCGAATTTTGAGCTTGCTCGTGTGCAGTAGGATCAATTTTTGTCAGACATTTGGGCTTAACTGGCCGATGCATGGTTGCTGTCATGGTGCACCTCAGCACGGTGGTGACGACACTGAGGGTTGACAGAGGATGTACATGGGTAGAATCTAGTTGCGAGACGCTACCAACAGGAGATGTTACTCATCTGTGCTGCGGGTAAATCTCTAGGTCAGGGGTTTGAGTCACAGCAACGCAATGTTCTCTTCACCCCACAAACTTTTAACCGAATGTTGACATTTTAGTTGCACATTTGGCAAGCACTTTACTCATGTTCCTAATGAGTTTTGATAAGCTTGGGGGCGGGCTGATGAGAGCCACAAGGACACTACACCTCTGGAACCGCCAACTCCAAGATCCCCTGACAGCTCTGTTAATGCTCATTTGAGACATTATCCATGGCGCACAACAAGGATGTGCTGCAGTAGTCTTGCGTGAGGTTCCGTAAAAATCAGAACAGTGCAGGACTGGCACCCGAATGACGTACGGAGTAACTCCTTATACCCATCACGTTGGGCTTAACTTTACCTCACGCCTGTGACAGAAATCACAGCGCCACTCCCCAGTACTGTCCCATGCTCTGTTCCACACATTGAAATTCCACAAATTAAAAGCCAATTACTGGGGATTTCCTTTGACTCTTTGAGCCAGTCCCAATGTTCCTTTGTGAAAAGAGGGTCAATAGCAATGTAAACATTTACTAAATTGTAAGTAGTGTCCCCATTATCTATCTGTTTACCTGAAGCCTCTAGTGTACTATGATTCCACTGGCCAATGTCAAGAACCCCATGCTTAACCCCATTCTTTACCAGCAGACACTGCCCATGTCTTTTCTGTCCGGTTAGAATTTATATGACTACTGTATCCTGGACACTCATATCTTCCTCTCTGCTTGGCACTACGACAATTCCAGTAACCCACTCTAATATGCTTTAAATCCAAGATACTTCATTTTCACCTGACTCTCCAGGTTTTCTAC